AATTTATTGGTTATATGAACTTTTATAAATGAATTTGCTTTTAATTTACTTCCATTGTTCCCTTTAATGTATATATATACCCTATTGTATCTCTTGTATATGCATGTTTCTCTTTGTGAATACAAACAAGTTTTCTTATCCCTTATAAGGGTGGCAATTTCTGACACGACCCAAAAACTTGACTCGAACCCAACCAAAAAATTAGGATGTGGGTCAACCCGTTAAAGAAGTGGGATGGGTCTGTATCTTAATTTTGGACCCATTTATATTTTGGGTCGGTTTTGAGTCAACCTGTCAACTCGCGGGTCGACACGACTAACCAACAAACCTCTTATATTTGGAATATTAATGAATTCTAGACTTCGGTCTTCCATCAATCCATTCCACTCTTTGTCTCTTCGCACTCCCACTTTAGGGTTCCATTCCTCCTCGCTCTCTTTTTGTAGTTTGGGCCTTCAGAAGCACTACAGTGGTGGAGTTCTCTTGATATCTTCTTATCTCGACCTTTCGACTTTGGTGAATCCTCTTTCTTTTGAATCCCTCCTCGAATCCTCTTCCTTTTTCAGTTGCGACTTATGGTGGTTGGTAATATCTTTAATAACTCTTATTGCTTTGGACTGTCGATGTGATGGTGGTCGGTGGTTTTGATTTCTATTTTAGATTTATTTATTTTTTATAGAATATTTGTTCTTTTGTTTTTTCCTAATTTGGTCGGTGTGAGATTATGAGCCATTGTGAGTTTGTGAGTGTTAAAGTGTGACACTTTGACGATGTTTCTGGAATTTGCTGCTTCATTATTCGTTATTCTTTATGAGTTATAAGTGTATGACCGAGCTTCTTGATGCTACGTTGCATGTCTGCACAGTTGGATTAGAGCTTGCTATTATGTAATGTTGCATTGTTGCTATTCTGTTACACAATTAGATTATAGTGTAGTGTTGTACTATTTCTCTTACTTTTGAGATTAGGGCTTGGGCCTCTTGATGGCTTGCTACCTGCATCTTGTTATGTTGCAAAAAAATAAAAATGTTGATTGTAGAGTTGTGCAATGGGATTATGAGATATGAAATTATGAATTATTTCAAGAAGGAAAGATATGGTAATGTACTTCTATATGATATAGTAATTTTACTTATACAAGTCAAATAGCCTCTACTATTATACTATTATTTAGTGTTATCATGTTATGGAGCATGAGATGAAATTTTGCAATATTTATAGAGATTAATACGTTAATGTTATCCATAGAAACATAAATTTTGCAATATTTATGTGAGTAGGTTATTTGTCTATTTAAATTATTGATGTATGTTGTTGATGTTATGAGTATTTGACAATTTATCTATTTGTCTAATTGATTAGGATATTTGTCCATTTGTTGATGTATTTGAATTGTAATTTGTATGAGTTTATAAAAAAGTATTGTTGAAAGTAACGAATTTCTATGACTAAGGGTCTTGTTTTATTTCATTTTGTCTAACACAAATACCTCTTCATTTTTTCATTTTTTATTTAGGGCATATTATGTCAAATATTTTGAGTTTGAGTTTGACATATCTTATTTCTTAAAAATGTATAATTTTGTGTTTAGATGCAGTATTCTAATACATTTGCTGCGAGTAATCCTTCTAAGCAGAATGAACATATTCTACTGATAATGAAGTGGAATTTGATAGTGATGAGTTGAACAATAGGATGGCAAGGAGGTTGACTTATACTGAATGGGGACATTTTGAAATGTTACCACTTGCAAAGGATGGCAAACATCATTGTAAATGTAAGAAATATGGTGCAACATACTTATGTGATAGTAAAAATGGTACATAAAATTTGAGATGTCACCTGCAAAATAATAAGAAAAAGAACTCTGATGATATTGGTCAACTTATTCTTTAAACTAACTCAAGCACATCTATTTCCATGGTTGAAAATATAGTTAATAATTAAGAATTTCGTGGCTTATTTGTTGCATGTATAGTCATGCATGATTTACCATTTCAATGTGTGGAATGGGCCGGTGTTAAAGCATTACTTCGTTACTTTCATCCTAATATGTAGTTTGTTTATAGAAATTATCACAAAATGATTGCAAGAAAATATTTATTAAGGAAAAAGTTTAAACCCAAGCCCTTCTATCTAGTTGTAAGGATAGAGTTTCTTTAACATCAGATTTATGGAATTCCAGCAACACAGATGATTTTATTTGCTTGACTACACATTTTATTAATAATAATTGGAGGTTGCAGGAAAAAAATGATTATTTTTTTTCATGCCACCCCCACATGACAGGCTAGCATTGTTTGAAAAACTATAATAATTTTTGCTTGAGTGAAAACTTGATAGCAAGCTTTTCAGCATTACTTTAGATAATGTTTATGCAAATATTATGTCTGTTGATTTTCTATGAAATCATTTGAATTTGAAAAATGTTCTTCTATGCAATGGTGAATTTTTCCATTTTAGGTGTTATGCACATATAGTGAATCTTATTGTTTAGGAAGATTTAAAAGAAATTGATTCATCCATTATGAAGTTGCATGAGAGCATTAAATATATTAAGGGTTCTCAATCAGGAAAACAAGAGTTTCTTAAATGTGTGAGACAAAGTTTTCTTGAAAGTAATAGAGGCTTGATGGTGTAATGTATTCAAATGTGTAAGGCTATGCTGTATTTGAATATGATGGTTGTGAGATTGGTGTAGGGCTGATGTTAGTGTAATGGTGTTGGTTGGTGTTGTAGATGTTTCTTTTGTTGTGAATATTAATAATTTTATTGGTGTTAGACCTGTTATTGTAGCTGATGGTGTTTGTGTTGCTAATGGTGTTGGTGTTGCATTATTGTTTTTTACTATTGTTTGGGCTCTGAGGTGTATACTATTGTCGGGTTTTAAGGTTTTTCTTGCAATCGTTATGTTAGTTTTTCAGATTTTCTTGTGCTTATTGGGCAATGGGCTATGAGGTATTGAGATTGTTGTTGGTTTTTTTGTTGTTGTTTGGGCTCTCTGAGGTGCTGACAACTATTTGGTTTAAAGTTTTTACTTGCAAAACTGTTGTTGGCTTTTCAAATATTCTTGTGCTAATTGCCTGATTGGGTAATGTGTTAAGAGGTATTGAGGTTGGTTTTTTTTTTTTTTTTTTTTTTTTTTTTTTTTTTTTTTTTTTTTGCTTATGTTGTAGTGTTGCACTGATGTTGTTGGGTTGGTTAGTTTATATGGCTATGATGAAGAACTTGGTGAAGTAATACATCAGTAGTGACACACAGTTAGATGCAACCGAATTATAAATTGGTAAAAAATAAAAAAAAAATTTCACTGGCTTGAGCATATACTATTTAATTGAATAGAAAATTATTAATTTGTAACTTTGGATGACACATTTTTCGTCATTGTTGCAGCTGATGTTTATTTGTTAGGTTCTCCTTAAGTCTACAGCTTTGATTGCTAGTAGTCAACGAATTGTTGCTTTTATTTATTTTTTTTCCAGCCTTGCAGATTCTTCATACGTGAGCTGTAAGCATTAAATTATTATGTCTAGATTGAAAGATTGAAAGGCAAAAAACAGATTTACACTTCTTTAGTTAAATTGTAATTTTATTTTCTAATATTTTTCTGTAACTTATATTCTTGTAAGTTGTAACTTGTATTTTTTTTGTAATAGCCTATAAGACTATATGTTTTATTCTTGTAATTTGTATTCTTTGATCAATTGACATAGGCTATAGGATGATTTAATTGCTAACATTTTTCTGTAACTTGTATTCTTATACTTCTTGTAAGTTGCATTCTTGTAGCATGTTTTCTTTTATTTTATAATATTAAGTATTTAAGTTATATTCTTGTAATTTTTCTGTAATAGTTAAAAATCATATAATTTTTTTTGCCGAGTTGGCGGGTCGGGTCGACGAGGGTCGGGTCAACCATGAAACTCCTGAAGGGAAGGCAAATGTTTGGGTCTGAGGGTCGGGTCGGGTTAACCTGGAAATCCGCCCGGGTCGAGTCCGGGTTGGAAATCCGGACTAGTTTAGCTAAACGGGTAAGGTTTGGGTCAACCCTTTTACACTCGGGTCAACACGAGTTAGATCCAAATCCCTCCCATTGACCCGAATTAACACCCCTAACCCCTTCATTGCTTCTCATATTATTGTAGTGTATCGCCTTCACGACTCAAGATGTGACATTCAGTAGAATGCGAAGAATCAAATTCTGAGAAATCAAACAGTTCTCCAATTTTTATTGAATTCAGAGAACAATTTTTCTGAAAACCGAAAAATAATTTCCCGCATCCTCTAAATGCGGTATTCCATCTTCTGCATTCACTGCAAATTATGTACGCTTCTTCTGCTTATTTGAATTGCAATTATGCTATTTTTTTTTACAAATTGGCCACAATATTTAGACAACTTTGTCCCCTAAATAATTAGGGGACCGCGCACTCAGACCAGCGGAGAGTCCGCAATGCTGACAGGCACCGCCAAAAGAATTTGTTTCAGGTAGAAAGATGCTCTTTTTCTCCGCTTCAAAACCAACACTACCACAGCAAAGTCGCAAGCGAATGAAAGGTTAGGCAAATGTTTGGGTCTGAGGGTCGGGTCGGGTTAACCTGGAAACCCGCCCGGGTCGAGTCCGGGTTGGAAATCCGGACTAGTTTAGCTAAACGGGTAAGGTTTGGGTCAACCTTTTTACACTCCGGTCAACACGAGTTAGATCCAAATCCGTCCCATTGACCCGAATTAACACCCCTAACCCTTCTCATATTATTGTAGTGTATCGCCTTCACGACTCAAGATGTGACATTCAGTAGAATGCGAAGAATCAAATTCTGAGAAATCAAACAGTTCTCCAATTTTTATTGAATTCAGAGAACAATTTTTCTGAAAACCGAAAAATAATTTCCCGCATCCTCTAAATGCGGTATTCCATCTTCTGCATTCACTGCAAATTATGTACGCTTCTTCTGCTTATTTGAATTGCAATTATGCTATTTTTTTTTACAAATTGGCCACAATATTTAGACAACTTTGTCCCCTAAATAATTAGGGGACCGCGCACTCAGACCAGCGGAGAGTCCGCAATGCTGACAGGCACCGCCAAAAGAATTTGTTTCAGGTAGAAAGATGCTCTTTTTCTCCGCTTCAAAACCAACACTACCACAGCAAAGTCGCAAGCGAAAGAGAGAAGCAAGCCATGAGCGGATCCCCTAACCCATCGCATGTTCAGGAAGCAGAGGACCAGAATCCGCTACCGCGGCATCAGTCACCACCGCATCCACCGTTGGCGGCTGCATTTTCTCAAGCTTCGCTGCAGAAGACCAACAGCAGTGGAAGAGAAGGAGTTTCGACGAAGCCTATAGGGCTACCTCTACGTTCTCTGCTTCAAGAACCAGACGACTCCATCCCCCCGCGAGAAGAATCAAAAAGCCCGAAGGTGAAGGAGAATGAGAATTACTTCGACTCTCAGAAGAGTGAAGCGTCATTACCAGCTTCTCCTCTCCGATCTCCTGTCAACGCTCCGGAGAACAAGATCCCTTCTGAGAACTCGTCCAAGTCGCCGGGACGAGCTGGCGCAATTGTCCCCAAACATCTCAAGTCATTGCTTGAGGACGGTGGAAGCCCGATCGGCCAGACGGAGAGGTCTCCGGAGAAGCCTTCGGTGCAAAATCGGACGGCGAAGGCTATGGGTAGCGGAAGGGGGATGGTGATAAGAGTGGAATCCGGGGTTGTTCGGCGGACGGCCCTGAGGAGGGCTGAAATTGGGCTTAGGGTTTCGGAAGCAGCTCTATGTGTGGTTTCTTTTTCGGTGATGGCCGCCGACAAGACTAGTGGCTGGTCTGGCGACTACTTCGACCGTTATCAAGAATACAGGTTCCTTTTTGGTTTGGGTTTTGCTTGATTTTGTGTGGAGTTTCTGTGACTGGTCATTATGGATGAACTAAATTAGGAGAAAGGAAAATTTAATATTTATTAAAATTACATATTCAGTTCTCAATGCATGAAAAAAAAAATGATAGATTTATCTAAAAAAAATGTATTATTCTCAATATTCAAGTCATAAATCTATATAAATCCCAATATAAGCGGCAATATTTATTTAATTTTTTATTTGATTAAACTGTTGCGATGGAATTTTTATTTTACATTATTTCTGGTTGCAGGTATTGTTTTTCAGTGAATGTTATAGCATTTGCCTACGCAGCATTCCAAGTTTTCTCGCACTTACAGTATATGATCTGGAAGAGACACAGAATAAGCCGTTCTTTAAGTTTCTCTTTCGACTTCTTAATTGATCAGGTAAATGCATGCCTTGAAGCTTTTATTGATTGGTAGATTTGATTCAAATGCCATTTTAATAAAAAGGAAGCAATTTCTGCTTATACTTGATTGAAAATACATATATAGCAAGATATTCGTGATACAAATTGTAGTATGATGGGTTTGAAAATTTTTAAGTTTGTTTTGAGATTAGTGCAATATTTAAACAACATTATTGAATTAAATTTAAAATAAATTCAGTAATTTTTGGTGCCCATTATAATATAATTTATATTAAGGATATTCTGACATATATTTATATTATTTTAATTTAAATAAATTGCTACAGTATAGCCTACGCGGTTCTGACCTCTACGTTCGGGTACTTGCATTTTATTTAACAAATTCATAGAATTATTTAGGTGATCCTCAGAGCAAAGATTTCAAAAAAGTGTATCAAAATTTTGAGTTGGAGGTTATATAATTCATTCAAAGTGAGAATAATTGCAATTTACAATCTAGGAAGAGAAAATCATATTTGTAAACATTACCCAAGCCAATGCCTCCTATGAAGAAAAACTTGTCTCACAACTCACAATCAACATAAGCTCCACGGCACCTCCCTGTCAATTAAATCATGCGCACCTATCCTTAATGCATTACATGCAAAATGCTAGTTATAACTTCCTTTGTCGTTGTAGTCATTTGAAATCCAATGGACATTGCATTCCATAATATTCTACTAAGGATCTTTTTTTGAACCTTGAGTTAGGTGGCGAGCATGTTGTATATTCAAGTTTTTTTGAGGTGGGAACAATCATGCATGGTTACCAGCAATATTATTTGATAGCGTTTATGTTGGCAAGGTATAGATCATTGATAACCTGGTGAAATGTGGAAGTTATAGAAATGGTATTAGCTCTAGCAGCCTATTCATCCATATGCCAAATTAGCCTATGCATGTTAGCCACAATGCTAAATGACTATGACAATCTGACAGTATGACAAGATAATCACAATGATATGGTGTCAGATCAAGTAATATGCCGTGTCCTACAAGCTTGTCAGGCTTAAATAGATTTCAATTTCTGGTGTTGATGCATATTATTGTTGTTTCTTTGCAATTCCATTCTATCGCCACTTTTATGTAGCTTAGATATGATCATGTTTACCACCATGTAAAATACACTTCAATTTAAGTCTCAATTGAACATTAATTCTTTATCCTGACACCCTATTTAGATTGAGCATAATTTTTTATTTGTAGAGAGGAATAACCGTTTCACTATAACAGAAAGCCATCTTAATGCAGCATGGCTTACTTGATTCTGATCAATTCGTCATGTTAGTCTAGCAGTTTCTTTCCTGAATGAACCTTCATAGCCTTACAAAGGTCAAGCTATGACAAATTGAAGTGTTTCTCTTCCATGTTTCTGAGTTATCTGTTGTTGATCCATATAAAACTTCAGTAGTTTGGGGCCACTTTAATGCATGAATCATGATAGGTAATTGCTTAGGAAAGAATCTGCTGCATTTAACTAAGGTCATGCATCGCATTTGTCATTCGTGAGTTCATGTCTTTACTGCTGGATCTATCAAACAGAGATGAGTGGGAGCATGAAAAAGCAGATTGACATCAATTTTACTGTCGTTGACAAATTATACCAATAATCAATGGTATGACTACTTAAGGAGCGAATGTCCCAAAAATTGTTGCCATCGTCCATGGAAAGGAGTTCCCTATATACAAGTTCATTGCTAACTTTTAGTTAGGCAACCATAGAACTGCCTACATAGGCTTTGGTACAAAATTTTATATTTCATGGCATAGAGCGGCATATGACTCGCTATAGCCAGGAAAGGCTGCTTTACATATTGCTTAATTTTTATCTAGCCTAGCAAAGAAAATTTCAGATGGAAGTGAAGAAAATTATTTGAAATCAAGTTTATTATACTTGATTGTATTTGCTTTGTGAAATTGAACAAATTGAATGAGTATTGATCCTAATTGTCTTGTCCTTTTTCAATATTAGGCATTCAGGTATTCAAATAGAGGGGAGGGAGGGACATAAAATTTTTATGTGAAAAATCATGGAGGGATGAATAATGGGGCTTAGTCCAGTTGAATAACATTTATCATTTATAAAAAAGATGTATAAAGCAATGTTTAAAATTGCGTATTCGGGTATTGAGGCGTTTTTCATTCATGAGGCGAGGCATAAGCCTCAAGGCCTTTTGAGGCGTAAGCCTCAAAATCAAAAGATTGCGTAAACATAAAATGAAATGATATATCACATAAGAACTCTTAAGTCATCAACACTGTCATCACTAAGGGGTTCTTCATTTGAATCATCATTATGATGAACTGCTCTCTCCCCTTCCTCCTCTCCTATAGAGTCCAATGTCGGGCATTTACTTCAAGATTTATGTAAGTTTTAATATATATAACGTAAGGCGTAAGCCTCATGCCAGTGAGGCGAGGCGGGCCTCAACCAAGTTGAGGCGCAAGCCTCATAAAAAAACTCGAGGCGTAAGCATCGAGGCGTTTTTTACTGGAATTGCGCAAAGGCGGGCCTCATATTGCGCAATTTTAAACCATGGTATAAAGAGTGGTCAACCTCTGGGTAATTAGATAAACTTTAATACAAAATTTATTGTGCAATTAGAAAAGATGGTGCTTGGTTGGTCCTCTTGCATGTGGATTGTGAATAACATAAATGCATGTGATGATAGGGACTATGATGTGATTGAAGGTGGTTGTAGGATAATCTTAGTTGAAAACAATTATTATGTTGATCTCATTAGAGATAATTGTGATACAAGTGAGGTTGAGATGCAAGTTTTGATGTAGCATTGGTGTTGTTGCCTCTACAATTCCACAGGATTTTGAGGCTATTTCTCCATTCATAATGCCTTGAATGAATTGAATCGATGTGTGTTTGTAGATTTTGATAAAAATATTTAGGTCCTTATCTAAATTCAAGAATTATTGGAATATCCATCATAGTTATTATCAATGAATGGTCCATATTATATTCACCCATGATAGAAATATGGCCACGTGATATTTTCCCTAGCCAGACCTAACCTATTTATTGGGATTGAGCAAAACTCATGTGACTGACAGTGGTCCGATGATGGTTTCCATAAAAAAAAATCTCTGATAAGTGATTTTGAATATTAATATTATAGATATTACTTCTACAAGCCCGTTGGAGGTTTAAAATCAAAATCCTGACATCTAGAATGACTGGAATAATGTTAAGAAAGTCTGTCACACAAATTTAGAGTTGTCGAAAAATGGTGAGGATATCTTACTCTTCTTGTATTAAAATAATTATCTATTTGAGTAACTATTTGTTATAAATGTCATATAAAATTGAGGCCTATGGAGTTCATAACATCTCCTAGAATTTAGAAACTTGTCAAATTTTTTGTGTAATAGTGGGCATGCCTGGTGTGAGAAAAAAACATCAATGTGATGTTAATGCAAATATGAACTCATTGGGCTAATTACTTGACCCCCCAAGTTGTCGACGAGTGCGATGACATCTTCACATGCAAGAAACTGCATGCGACTAAGAAGATAGTTGGGTTTACCTTGGCCAACCCAATTGACTTGTGGAGACTAAGACATCCTCACATGCAAGAACCTACACGAGGAAGAGGGTTTCGTCAAGTTAGGCCAATTTGGTTCGCCTTGGTTCTACCCTTTCAGTTGGATGTGGGCTCCAAATTTCACAATTTTACTGTCAAAAGATTTGTTGCAAGAGATAGCACATTTAACTTTAATTTTGTTTTTGAATTTTTTTAATCTTTGAATTAATTTTTTTTATCAAAATTGAGTGTTAATTTGTCTCCCTGAATTAGCTCAATATGTGTGACTTGCACCAAAATTTACTCTTCACTATATGAGAATTTTCCCATCTCAAGAAATGCCTACATGTTCTTTATTATTCTAATTTATAAGTCCAAAAATTCTTCAAGTTTTACTTATATTTGCCCTGTAGACTTACAATAAGAGAAACTTCAATACGTGATCACTCCCTATATGTCATCGTAAACTGAAGGTCGTGAACCATGTTGTTACCCCTCAATCGCAACGCCACTTAGAAACTCCAAAGTAGATAGATGAAGCTTTAGGCAAATAATCCTCTTCAACACTATCGAACACCCTCTAAATAGATTAAAACTATTCTTATATACTATGTTGAAACTTGAAACTATAAAATATAAAAAAATGGTATCAAGATATTTGAAATCCTCGAAAATGATATGAAACAATGGTATATTTATTTATATATTTTTCCTATTTTAGTAATCTTTCTTTTAATAGGACACAATGGAGAAAAATGATTCATGGAGCCGACCCCACGTAGTGGGATAAAGGCTTGATGTTGTTGTAGTAATCTTTCTTAATTTTTGGCTTTTATATTATTTATAAAATCTTGAAGCTCTGATAATCCAATTTTGAATTTTAAATTAAAAAAAGTTATGAAAAAGTTGTTTTAAGAACTTTATTTCTCAATATATTCTGAAAAAGTTCTTAAAAAATCACTAAAAATAGATAGAAATCTGCAACACCATTTGGTTGGTCCTAGAAACTATACATTTCCCTTCCCTCTTCATGAAAAATCCACTATTTTGATATTATTATTATTCAATTTCTCCTTTGTAGGAGGCTAAAATTGAGTTAGAAAGCTAATTGCGCAGATGAGAAGGTAACTGGAATAATTGGTTGCATCATCCTCTCAAGATTGAGGTCACCTTAGGAGTGAGGTTGAAATGGAGTCCAATAGTTGTGCGATAGAGGGAAGGAGGCTGATGGAAGCAAGATGTCGCATCACCTTTTCAGGTGAAATAGAGTACCAATGATGGTATGATATAGGAAAAGGAGGTTATTATAAGCAAAAGGTGACATCGCCATTGTAGGATTGAAGTTCATCTCAGGAGAGACTCAAATAAAATCCACTATGTTCTGACGTAGGGAAGGAGGTTCTAACTAGGTCGAATGGCCCTCTCTAGACCCTTGTTAAACTGAGGAGCGAGGTTTGTCTCAGAAGTGAGGTTAGAATAGATACCTATCAAAGATGCAAAACAAGGAAGGTTGCTGTAAGCAAGACATTACATCACCAAGGAATTTCTTTGATTAAAGATTTGCATATCACTTCATATATCATGACGCTATGAGTATGATGGAGATGAAGTTGAAATTTTTACAGATGTATTGACTGGAATAATTCTAAGAAAATTAGTTTCTAAAATTTAGGGTTGTTAAAAAGTTAGTGATAATATATCGTAGTCTTTGTATCAAAATGTTCTCTCTCTTTTAGAGCAATCATTTGCTACAAACAAGTCATGAAACATAGGTTGTAGAGATCATATAACTACTCCTGGAAGTTGGAAAATTATTGGATGATTTGCATGGTACTGAATGCTCATACAAAGGCGTATCTACTGGGCTTGGTAGCCAATGATAGCAGCTACAGCGGCGACTGTCCCCTTTCCTCCTCACAAACAGGAAAAATTATTCCGTGCGGACACCGAATGCCGTTCGGAAACCAATAAAAATGCACCACGTCACCCTTTTATTGTACCGCGGCTCATTACTGCTCAGTACTGTGCTCAGTACCGAGGCTCGGTACCTCGGCATCCGGACATAGAGCTTCGTCCGGCGTCCGCATAGAATAATTTCTCCACAAACAGGAACTTATGCATTTGTAAGAAGATAACGCCCGCCCTGATTCAACCATTGTTGTGTTTTGAGATCATTTGATATATGGATTATTTTTTTATAAAAATTTGAGTGCGACTCCTTAAATCACCTTAACATGCATGCTTTACTTTTATGCTCAATAAATAAAATGGGATCTTTATGGTCCCACAATTATGAATCACCAGTTGCTGATTTCATTTATCTTAAAATCCTAGTATCCAAATAGCTTTTTTTTGTTCCATGGAAACTTTTTTTTTTTTTTTCTGAAACTTGCAATTTTCAGGTACTGGCATACTTACTGATGTCTGCATCATCATCGGCAGCCACTCGCAACGATGATTGGGTTTCCATGTTTGGGAGGGATAAGTTCACTGACATGTTAATTGGCTCTATTGCAGCTTCTTTCTTTGCTTTCTTGGCTTTTGCTATCAGCTCTATAATTTCTGCTTACAAACTCTTCAGCTTGAATCCTTGAAAGCACAACAATGCCTGTATATAAGCAAGCTTTTTGATTTATCAGAATGATGTATATTTTTGTAGCCATTGCCACTAATTGCTGGTGTTTCCAAGCTTATTATTAAGATTAAATTACCTTTTTGTTAAATCCGATTGGATTGCTTCTAATTAGAAAACCTGCTTCTGCTTTACAAAATGATAAAATTTGTCAAATTTCAACTTTGAGTGTTGAATGTTGGTGTTGATGCCGAGTGTTGGAGTTAGGTATAGATGTTGAGTGACAATATTATTGTCATCAAAACATGTTAGCTAGTGTTAGCCTTGTTGGAAATTACGCATAATCCTTGCATTTTGAGCTTTTGAATCTGTCATTTTGAATACTTAATGTAGCCTCTTTCCAACCTTGTTGAATGTGTAGAAATTGGGTTTATTTATATAATTTTATAGAGGAGCATTCTTCTCATTTTGACCAAAAATAAGAACAATTTTCAAATCAATCTTTGTTGATCTCTTTGATCATAAATTTTTAGGCACTTAATTGCCTTATTGATATCAAAGTTGAGTGATACTGAGCTTGTTAGATTTCTCTCATCAAAATATTCATTTTGATCGTAAGAATGACATATTCAAATATCTTTATCTCCATCAAATAGTGACTAATCTTTGATTATACATTTGAGTGCTTGATTTAGGTTCATTCAGATCATGACAACATTGTGATGTCATTGGGTTTGTATCATCTCATGTCCATTTTGATTATTAGTTTGTTAAAAAATGAATTATTATGGTCCTAAAATTTGATGATGGAAAATTTTTATTGAAATACTCAGTGTCAAGATCTATTCTTCATTAGATAGAAGTATCAGTTGTTCCATGTTTTTTTTTTAATGTTAAGATATGTGTTGCATAAAAATACAGGTCTAAAAAAAATTGTGATGTGAAAAATCATAATTTTCAAAATCACTTTTTAAATACTAACATGTATGTCTTCCCTCGGGGTCTTGAACTAAGCTTTTTTTTAAAAAAATCTCACTTCACTTTTCTTTAAACATGGCAAATTATTGAGAGCACAAAATTGTTAAAAAATTAAGATATGAACTCTCCAAGATTGCCCAAAACTATATCTAGAGGCTCTTTATGAGCAAAAGATGCTAAAGTTGAGTCTAATCTATTAAATTACAATATTGTGCCTAAAAGTGCTGGAATATGCTAGGTGGGGGCAAAAATCATGTCGGGACAAATATATTGATGGGTCTGACGATAGCGCCACAGAGGCGTGCAACTTGCAGGCTTTAGGTGGTGTACATGCTTCACAAATACCTAAAAGCATTTTTTCCTTATACATTTTAATACACCTCTTTGAATAAACACTTATTTTGCTTTTTTTTAATTAAAGATTTGTAATCCTTAAAATTGTTGAAAGTCATAAAAATTTCAACAAAAAAAGTAACTCTTCTATCTCCCACTATTAATATATACAATAAGCAAGGGGAAATGGTCAACTCTGGGTCAACTAGGGTCCACCAAAGTGCAGTTTTGGGTTTGAAATGTCATAACAAGGATTATGGATATGGTCAATGGTTTTAGGGAAGGTCCCATGGTCAAATTATAAAAAGATGCAAGGTCTAGTGGCATAGACTATAAATATTTGAAGATTTGCAGCCTCTGGATTTCAATCAAGTTTTTTGTTTACATGTCTCGGATTGGCCTCAAATTTGGAGGGTTGACAATAAAGACATGTCTAATCAATATGAAATTGATAGATAATGAATTATAGGTCATTTGATTGGGTTTTATGATGATTGAAAAATCACTCAAAAGGGTTATATGACATGGGCCTTCAACCTTGAATTATGGTCTAAAATTTTGGATTTGAATTGTACTCTGAATTTGATTGATTGAATTTTAGTTTTGTCAGCCTCATGTTAAGAATGAGATCAACTGTAATAAAATATGAAAATTGAGATCACATGAAGTCACGAGACATTTAAAAAAAAAGGAATGGTATGTATAAATTGAACTTATTAGCAAACCTACCATAAATAAACCTAGTTTCACATTAAGATAAAAATGAGTTATCAAATGCATGATGATGTGAAATGAAGTATATTAGAAATCATTTAATTAGGGAGCACATTTATTGTGATTAAATCATTGTTAAGTGTTTACAAGAAAATTAGCCTAAACATAGTATCCACTCAAGCTTTAAGCAGCTTCCTCCATTATTTGGCTTGATCATGTGTGAAGACCTAAAACACTAAATTTAAAACATTATTCACACCAAGCATATGTTTTTTATCATAAATATCAAAGTGGCCTAAACCAAGGCTCATGGGGTTATAGAGTGAAGGTACAAAGTGACCTTCATTCATACATGGAATACATATATATCAAGAATTACTCAAAATGATTTATCAAGAAGGTCCAAAATCAATATTCGTAATAAAAACCCCCCCTAAGTCTATGCATGAAATAAATTAAGAAACCAAATTGAGATAAAATCATACGAATAAGTAGTTTCTCCCCCTTTATAAACTCAAAAATGAATAAAAGCATGAAATCCATGAAAACCAAAATCAAAGAGAGAGATCCAACATTCCAAGCATTCAATTTAAAGTACAAAATCTTTCTTCTTGCAATGGTTTTATAAAAATATCAATGATTTGAAAATCAATTCAAACACCACCTTTCAAAACATGATCATGAATGAAGTGATGCCTCACTTTAATGTGTTTGGCCCATGAGTGTTGAATTGGATTCTTTGTTAAGCATATAGCACTAGTGTTATCAAACTTAATAGGAATGTGGTCTAATCTAACACCAAAGTCTTCTAATTGTTGCTTTAAATAAAGGACTTAACCTACAGAGCTACCAACAATTATATATTCATTATCAGTAGTGTATAAAACCACAAAATGATGCTTCCTAGTGGACCAAGACACAAGAGAATATCATAAAAATTGACATGTTCCTTATATACTTTTCCTATCTACTTTGCATCCAACATAGTCCACATTATAAAAGCAACAAAGCCACATGTTATAGGGTTTTTAGGATGCCACAAGACGAGCCTACTAGTGCTTATAAGATACAAAATATATGCTTAACTATCATTAAATGAAATTACTTGTGGGCGCTTGAAACCGAGCGCACAAAAAAATAGCAAACATAATATCAGGCCGACTGACTGTAAGGTGTAGAAGTGATCCTATTATACTTCTATAAAGCTTGTAGTCAATGGATTTTCTTGATTCATATAAATATAATTTAGTAGAAGGGCTTATGGAAGTTTTACTAAATTTGATTCTCTTTATGTCAAACTTTTTAATTAATTTGAGAGTGTGTTTAGTTTGACTGATGAAGGTGCCATTTCTAAGTTACTTCACCTGAATCCCTAAGAAAAAGTTGAATTCTTCTATTATGCTCATCTCAAATTGACTAACCATCAAAGATGAAAACTTAGTGCATAAAGATTTATTGGTGCTTCCAAATAAAATCTCATATACGTATGTTTGAACCACAATGAGATCAACACCTACATTCTTAAGGAAAAGAGTTGTATCTACTCTGCCCTTTCTAAACTCATGGTCATTGAGGTAAGCACTCGATCTCTCATACCAAGCCTTGGAGCCTACTTCAAATCATAAAAAAAAAAACTTTCTTCAATTTATAAACAAGATTAGGAAAATCAAGGCTCTCAAAATTAGAGGGTTGCTCTACAAAGAGATCATAGTCAATAAACCTATTTAGAAAGGTGCTTTTGATGACCATCTAAATGAGTTTAAAGTTTCTATAACATGCATAAGCAAGGAGAAACCTAATGGTAGGTTTTAGAGTTTGTATCAAAAAAGCAAATGGGGTTCGGCGCCTGCTCTGCTAGGGTTAGGCTTCCGCCGCCGCTTCTTCTTCCTCGTTGGTGAGAGCTTCTGCCCCGTTTATTCGGTTGTTTTTTTCTTGCGTTTGTTTATGGCGTCCTCCCGGTTGAGGGATCGTGGTTTTTTGGAGGGGGTTGCGGCCCCTCTTTCCTTCAAGGATGTGGTTTTTGGTAACGCTTCTTCTGAGTTCCCTGATCTAAATTTTTCTTCTCATCGTGGATTGTCGGCTTTACTAATTTCTGATGAGGAGATTTGGGCGCTTGCGAAGCCCTTTGATTTTTTGTTGGTTGGTCGTTTTCCGGGGCGGAGGCCGTCGGTCGATGCCATTCGTAAATTTTGTTTCAACTTAAAACTGATTGGGGATTTTTCAGTCACTGTTCTCAATCACAGGAATGTCTTGATTAAACTGGAGAATGATTTTGATTATTGCAGAATTTTTTCACACCGATCTTATTTTGTCCAAAATTGCTATATGAAGGTGGTGAAATGGTCGCCACATCTGGATGTTGAAGTGGATTCGCCGGTTGTGCCAATTTGGGTGTCTTTCCCTCTTCTTAGGCCCCATTTATTTTCTCCTAGAATTCTTTTTGGTTTAGGTTCTCTCTTTGGTAGACCCCTAAAATCTGATTTGGCGACGGCGTCTGGTTCTCGCCCATCCATTGCTCGCATTCTAGTTGAGATGGATGTTACTAAGAAACATACTGATAAGATTTGGGTTGGCTCTGTGGAGTCGGGTTATGTGCAGTCCGTTATTTTTGATGATATTCCTAGTTTTTATGTGTATTGTTCCTCTTTAGGTCACTCTAAGGATTCATGCCCTATCTTACATCCCAAGCTTAAATCCTCTAAACCTGTGATTGTTCTAGGTGGGGTTCCTGTGTCGACTGTGCCTGTTGTTGAAGGTGTGTTGGAAAACGATGTTGTGGTTGGACCGAATGTGCTTGGGGCGGAAAATTTTGTTGTTGTTCCGTGTGGGGAGCTGGTTGTTAATCCTCCTGTTGATATGAATTTGGAAACTATTCAAGATGGAAATATGATGCTTGATGTTGGTGCTAAGGGTGTGGCTGAGATTTTGTTGTCTCCTATTGCGATACCTTTTTTTCCATTCGTGTGTTCCTACTGGGCAGACGGTTGAGTTGGGGGGTAGCCCGAATGTTGCTTTGGTGCCGGATGTTAACGAGAGGTTGAATTCTATTCATGTTGGGGCTGTATCAACGCCTGTTGTGGATGTTGGGTCGCTGAAAGGTGATCCGTCTGTGCTGGGTATTGTGGA